TTTTTTAAAAAAAAAAAGAACACTTACGATCATTGCTTTCTTTCGAAATCGCATGATTTCTTAGATTTCCATAAATCGTTTTACGGAATTCTTCCTTTCATAATGAAAAATGTGTATAAATATTCGACAAAATTTTGCTTCGTTATTTCACTGCCCTAGATCAAATTAAACGGCTAAAGTAATGAACAAAATAACGAACAAAGCAATGGACAAAAAACAAACTCTTCGGCCACCGTTTCCTCCGCAGTCACTTAACTTTTCTGAAATCATTAACGAATCAATCAGAAAGTATCGAACGGGGAAAAGCTCGAAAACCCCAAACGCATATCTTTTATACAGAAAGGAGTACACTGCGACATTTAAAAATTCGAATCTTGGGCACATTTCGACACTTTCTAGTGAAGCATGGAATACAGAACCTCACGAAATAAAAAACGAATACAAAAAGTATGCCGATTATATTAACGAAACTGTGAGAAAAGAAATACCTTATCATTTCGTTGGTACCAGGGAAGAACAAAACTCGGAAATTTTTTCTAATGATTATTACGAAATCAATAACGATTCACAAAGCAATCAAAATGTCGGAATCACAAACCATAGTAATTATCACACAACTTCATTTTCTTACATAACTTCAGACGTTATAAATCCAAATTTCGCGTATTACATACTTTAAAAACAAAAAAAAAATTAGAATAGAAAGACATAAGAAAAAAATTATGTATACGTTAAGCATAGACTTTTTAAATAAAAAATATGACTACATGGCTTATAAAATACGAAATATGTGGTTAAATATTTTTTTTTCTTTTAAAAAATTTTGACATTTTTTCCTTTATACCTTTATATTATATATATATCTCATCTTTTAGATTTTAAAGCATCTAGAGAATTTTAATAAATACTTCTTTAACTTACTCTCTCAATATCTAAGATTACATGAATGCGGCAAAGTAAAAACCTGTAAGTTAAGGTTTAAAATTTTATCGTATCAGACTTAAATTCGAAACTTTTTTTATGAAGTTTAAGTTCGATACATTAAAAATTTAAAATATTAACTTATAGGCTTTGTATTTTATAAAAAAAAAGTTGCTCAATTTTTCACACGTAATCATACAAAGTGTTAGATGATTAAACATTAAGTGCAATAATAAGTGAAAGTTTTTATTGATTGAACGAAGCATTCAAATTAGGGATAGGAATCGATTTAGTCGACTAAAAAATTTATATGTAAATTACTATGTTTAGTCGATTTAGTCGACTAAATAATCACTGGGAATTAACAATCATGTGCTGATTTTGACATTGCAGTGTTGATTATCAAGTTCGATCAACAATAATCATGTGTTTTCAACCATCTTGGTGTGTTTTGAAGACCAAGGAAGACAAAATAAGTTTACCTCACTCCACCGACACTCATTTCGTAGACATAACAATTCACCGACATGTTATTTCGACATTTATTTTCCATTTCACTGACAGTTTATTTCACCGAAACTTATGTCACTGACAAAATAATTCTGGTCATTGTCGTTAGGGTCAGATTAGAATTAGAGTTAAGGTTAGTGGAATTTATAAAAAAAAATTTGTCCCTGAAATGAGCTTCAGTGAAATAAACTGTCGGTGAAATAAAAATGTCGGTGAATTTTTTGTCGGTTTGCAGGTTGAATGAAGATATTTCTCACGATTTATATAAAATTCATGATGCAAGATATGTTCATGCACTCTTTCACAGTGACATTATTTTACAAGATAAAGGCATTAGTAAAATATGCGATCTTTACATCTCAGATCTTGGATTGTCTAAGATTATGAAAATGATTCGGGTGTGTCATTCCTTATGTCGATTCAGAAATTTCATCAGGTTAGAAGCTTACGCTGACTGCAGATAATTGTTATCATGTCAGAGAATGAAGACCTTTTGATGATTATGAATTTAGTATTGGTCTTGCAATAAAAATTTGTACTGTAAAACAGAATTTGCTCCTGGAACTCCGAATTGCTATATTGATTTTGCTAAGGCAATGGATGCTGATCCACAAAAACGTTCTGCTACTCATTACTTACATACTGTATTGCAATAATAATATTTGTATATTAATAATTTGTTAATTTGGCACATTTGATGACAAAAAGAAAAATATAAATGCACCCAGATACATAAATAAGAGAGAAATGTTATTTGACTTGGGTTAAGTCACCTAAACTATTATTAATAATCAGCTTTATGACGTCGTCACGCAAAACTAGGAACGGGTGAATATAACTAATCGTAATAGTCAGATAGAAATGTTGAATAAAAATGACTCTTACGTGAAATGAATGAACAAACATGTTTTTTTTCGCTTTTGTCGTTGAAATTCCGAAAATTTCCAAATAATGATAGCGTCAATGATTTCTGCTGTAATTTGTTATTTTCAATATTAGATAGTGTATATTAGCTATGTTATATTAAATACCATATAGATATACAGTACACCTTGGTAAAATCATGTTTTTACAGCATGATTAATTAAAATGACAGGCCATTTTGAGTGCACACTCTGAGTTGCGTAAGGTTATTTGTTGCAAAAACCTAAGAGTTGCACCGGCAAGTAAGGGAGTAATACGAATAGTTGTGGTGTATGAGTAAGCAAAGAAGTTGTGTATATTAATATATTAAATTAGCGTATAGTTAGTGAAATCACAACTACGCATAAGCGTGCTAGTATAAAATTTATGCAAGTGTAACGCTAAAGTTCGAGCTTTTAAACTTACAATATCAGAAACAATTCTGAATATTTTAATATATCGAATCTGTGATGTTATAAATTAAGAGCCCGAAGCTTAATCTTGTCGTTAAATAACGAAAGCAATGATCGTAAGTGTTCTTTTTTTTTTTAAAAAAAAAAAAAAAAAAAAAACAATTGAGTTTTAAAACATATATTACTTATCAATAAAATGATGACATCTTTAAAAAGAATTCTTTTCGAAAAAATTATCTTTATCTTTTTAATGAAAGCTTTATTAGTGATGAAAAAGAAATGTTTTTTCGAAGAGGATAATTCTTTAAATAAGATAGATTTTTTGCGATTCTTTTTCTCAAAACTTCTATGTAAAATATTATGAGGCACTATAGATATTAGGCGAAACTTATTTTCAAAATGGCAAACGACGAAAGACGAAATCCAGTGGCGAAACGTCGAAACCCTAACTAAACATTGAAATGCAAACCCTCAGCAAAACTTCAATAAAAATATACAAAGCTATCTTACTAAAAGTTCAGTACACTGGTCTCCAAGCTGTTCGACTTAAATTAGTGCTATACTACCAATGATAAATTTCTTTCCTTTTTAAATGTAATTTAATGATCTTGGATCGTCCAAATACTATGATCAATCGTGTAAGAGTTATTTTCTTAATTTGTTATATCAAGCTTAAAATTTTATTATATAAAAACTTACTCGATAATGAATAAAAATCTTCAAAACGGCTAATTTGGTATGAAAAGAAGCAACATATTTATATCAGCCCTCATTTACTAGTTTTTATAATCTTTAATTTTATGGATTTAGCCAATTTCTAGTTTTATCATATTTCGCCATTTCATCTTTCAAGCTATTCAGGATACTCAAATTTGAATGTTCGATTTTATCTATCCAAAAACTAATTTCAAAAAAAAAAAAAACTTGAAAACACGCGTAATTATATGTAGAAAAGAAATCTACAGATTAATTTAATAAAGAAAATTATTTTCGTTAACATTAAATATAAGCTTATGTAATATAAAAAGGAGCAATACATACAATCCTGGCAGTACGCGCAATCTTGTAAAAATCTTGATTTTTGTTATACGTTTCTAAATCCTTTTTGTCATATTCGATATAACATACATATATATTATATATATTGTATATATGAATATAGTAGTAAATACTCAGATGCGACTTTGGTAGTATACATCACTAATTATACACAACAACTATTCGTAACACTGCAAGGAAATCTACTTTACCTGTTACTCAATTACACACCATAACTATTCGTAACACCGCAAGTGAGGTTATATTTTCGGTTAAATGAATTATCATTATTATTTAAAGTTACACGACAAATATACGAATAGATAATAAACCTCTTTTACTTACTATATATGATATAAAACCACCAAAGATCATGTTTGGACAAAACTTTGGAGATGCTACGCAAAAAAGTAAAGTTAATAACTCCAAAATTTTATCGTTACTTTGATTTAATTCGTTAAATAAAAAAAGGTTAACACATAATTTTACTTATAACTACGTACTCTAATTTTTTAAACTTTATAAAAGTGCAAATATGTTTTGAACATTTTTGAACTTGGACATTGGGTATTCAAAAAATATCTTGAATATCAACATTGTCTAGAGGAAGAGCATTCACAGAATTTCCTCAAATTATTTTTGTTATAAAAAATTGTAAACCATTTCTATTTTTTTTTATGTGCTGCTTTATGTTTAAGTTTGAAATTTCATTTATTAAAAAAATTCATAAAATTTACAAAGTACATATCATAAATACCATCGCCTTTTATATGTATTCCTTCCGCTTGAAAAAATAAAGACATACAAGATGTAGATTGTTCATTTTTTTAGTACCTTCGATAAAATTGATTTGATTCTTACAACTATTGTGAATAACTGAGAAAGCTTGGATTATATTCAAGAGGTATATCATAATTAGGTTGGGGCATATAAAAGCTTAGACCATAGTCATAAGGTATTGGTGGTATGTAATAGTTATTCGAAGGATAGAATTGTAATTCGTTTACATAAGGTAAAAAATCGACGAAATTAGTTTCTTGGATTGCGTTGATATCATTATTTGAATCCATAATCGATAAATTTTGCGTGTTTTGAGTGATTTCTGTGTCGAATTGAGATAAATTATGCGCATTTTCAACGATTTCAGCACTTAATTGAGGTAAATTATGTGCATGTTCGGCATTTCGATTTGAATCTACGATTGGAGCCGGATCAACGGTATGGTAGGGATTAATTTTTGTCTGGGTAACTCCAACAGTTACATCATCAAGAATAGGGCTTAAATTCTTTTGTTTATTGACGAAAGAAAAAGGAATTCGTTTTCTAACGCCTTCTTTAATTTTAATAGCAAGATCTTTGTAATGATTTTGCACGGCAGTAGGTTCATTATACCACGATTGTCTTGCAAGTGGAGAGATTTTCGTAGCTGCAAGATTACAATTATTTACTCTGCTGAATTCAGCAATATATTGGGATCGATAAAGAAGAAACGCATTAGGCGTCCTGCGAGTTTCTCCTTCTTGATATTTTTTAACTGATTCTTCTATGCACTGCGGGACATTAATATTTGGGGGAAATTTTGGGCACACATTTGAATAAATATTTGAACTTTTAGTATTAACTCGTTTTCTAGTCATGATTAAAAAATATATTATTTCGTTACAAATCTCAAGAACTAGATTTTTCCCGCATTTTTCGTAAGACATAAGGTTAGGTGTTTAAATATTTTTTTTTCGAATTATTGCAATAATAAAAATGAAATTTTAATTGATCGGAAATATTGAATTTCCTTTCAACCAGATTCGCGTATAACCGATGAATTTTCTTTGTAAACATTTTTTTTACAAAATAATAAATCTAGTGCTGGATGGAATTTTCGTTGTTTAATTCAATTCATAATAGCACGTACTCCGTTGCTTTAACAATGTAACATGCAGCCGCATAGTTGAAGCCCACAAGCCCTAACCCTGCATATTTGTCTTGTGGCTCAAAATTTCGGAGTCAGAGAACCGCCACACAGATATTAAACAAAGTTATTCCCTATGGAACCGTTGACGATCCGTAATTATCCGATTAATACTATAAATTTAGGGTTACAAAAGATTTATTGTTCCGGTCATGTGATTGTGATATGATGTCATTCTACATTAATAAAACAAAAGTCCGTTTTGTCAAAAATCGCTTATTCTCAAAAATCTGAATAAGAAACCACCTTTTGTGCTTTAGCAAA